TTTTAAGATGAGATCCATTACCAATTTCAATGTTTACTTATATATTCCAGGAAATTTAACCTCCACTGACTGCAATAGGGACTAGGAGATAATTCTACAGGGGAAAGAGGAGATAACTTATTTTCTTCTCATTGAATAAAATGTTTGCACTGTAACACTAACAACTGATTACTATGAGCTGTATTAATGTATCATAGTTTGTGTTGCTACCTTTTACTTAGCTTTGCAATGACTACAATTCCACTAAGAAGCCGCTGTGCTCTCTTAGTGGTATTTCCTTCCTGACAAAAGTGTGCTGTGATTTATAGAAAAGTTTAGAGTATATTTCACTTAAAAATAACCCCAAAAGTGCTAAATTTGGTAGTAAGGTCACAGGAACCGGGCTTGCACACCATAGAATGGCAATTAGTGCTTTGGAATAAAAAATAGTAAGAGTGCTCTAAAAGGGTTTGGGATAGAGACAGAACAGGACTAGGGACAATTTCTCAGAAGGAAGGTTTTTATGTTTGGAGGAAAAAGCAGAAGAGTTAATGCCTGACAAAATATATACATTTATGGAGCTGGAGTTGAACCTGAGAGTCTGAATCTATAGCCATTTGTGTCAGTAAACTGTGGGGAAGCCCACTGCCAAATAGCATGTTTCAGCTCACCTGATCGATGGAGAGCGTAGCAACTTGGTTATCAACTGCTGCCTTTGCTTTGCAGGTAGCAAGAGGCTGTACAGTAAGGGAGCCTATTGTCTTGCTGCAAAAACAAAGCCCTGTCTGTCTTGAAAGTAAAGCCTGTGTGGTAATCCCTACACAAGAGCAGTAATAAACTAGTGAACTGTGAATGGATGGTCATCTAAGCCTAGAAATTACGAGAGCCCAAGTTCTTGATTTTGCCACTTTCCTCTCACAGAATTGTATTCTGTAATTTGTTCTGATGGATACATTAATTACATCTGTGCTGTGCTGCAGAATTACAAACCCAGTTCCTATTGTGCCATTTACCTAATGCACACGGTACATTTCTTAAATTATTCTTGGATAATCACTGCATCGTTCAGAGGTGGTTTACTGAATACAGTTGCTCTGTTAAAGGCAGGACAAGATTACTGGCAAGGGGCAGATTTTGGTGGATGGGTTAATCTCCTGCCGGGGAGATGCAGGGAAACATCTCACTGCTGTGTACTCAGGGATGCATCTTCTCCTAAATGCCCTCGACGCAAGTCAACGATTGGCAGTTTACTATTTGATGTGATGCACTAGCACTGCGAAATTTGCAAACAGACTCGACTACCTCCTCCAGTTACTTACATCTTGCACCGCCTAAAGCATCAACAGCCCAACAAATTGATGTTTTGAAAGAGCGGCACTCGGAATGCGTTCAAGTTAACAGTGAAGCAGCTAAAGAAAGTTAACTTCCTTACCTTCACAGCATTTACCAACACTAGCAAATGCTTACTCTGACTTCTTAGAGTAGGAACTTATGTTCTGGTGTGGATTTGAGCAATTCTTCTCTATTTCTATGCCTCCTTAAGTTCCTTGGGAATGGACAAAATGCTCCCACGTATTTTCAGATCACCGAGGCTTTGGTTCTGGTGCTGAACTTGAAGCAGCAGAAAGGCAAGCGCAGCCCCTGCAGTGCAGCTAACACCACGAAGCGCCAGGATGCGGTTCCTGTGCTCGCAGCCGGCTGCCCGGGAGCTGCCGTGGGTGTTGCTGCTCCTGCCCCGCTGGCCCCTGGCGAGGGGCCGTTCCGAGCTGCAGCTCAGCGCGGGGTGCAGCCCCGCTGTGCACAGAGCCAGGAGACGGGGCAGGCACGGCTCCTGCAGGCACCACGGGCTCTGCTGCTGCACAGGGGTAGAGTCAGACAGCAATATTGTACCACTGCTGCAAGACAAACTCCAAAAACTCCCTTTTCAATTGTTTCTCATCATGCAGCAGTTTACTTAATGAAGTGGTATTTGGGTACAGTTCAAAATAAAAAAGTAACTGTACAACATAGTATTGGATTCTGTCCCATTCTTAGCAATGGACTTATCTTGTAATAAAAAAAAAATACTATTTCCACTTTTTGTCCCATTTCTATGAGTTAAGGTTACAAACCAATTCTAGCTACTGTTAGCAAGCAGTATTGCTTATATCTTATAAATGGACGTTTTAATATCAGGCAGTTTTACTGTATGATTGATTCACTGTGTTATATTTCATGCTATTACCACGGAAATATTTTAGTAGAGGAAAATATTCAGAAGCAACTAATACAAATAAGCATACAGGAAGGCACTTTGGCTGGGGGACAAGTATAGATGTAAGTATACGGCCAAATGTTTGCACAAGGCATTTAGAGCACTGTTAAGTAATTTACTATAGTGCCATGACTATACTATGTAGGTCATCTATCTCCGTTTTTCAGTGTGGCGCCGTGCCATGCTGGATCCAGCCACACACTGTTTGCTTGTAGCTTGATCTTGGAGCAGATTATTTAATTTTAATTTTCAATTTGCTTCTAAATATAAATACGGCAGCAATTAATATGGCAGCCAGAGCTCACATCCACCTTGCTGCTGCTGTGAAATGAAGCCCAGAGCACAGGATGGCTGGGTTGGAAAGGACCTCTGCAAACCTGCCCCGGCCTGTGCTGCTGCCGGGGCTGCTGGTCCCAGGGCGAAGCTCCCGCTGCCCTGTGCTGAGCTCCAGCAGCTCCACGCTGTCCCCGTCCTGCTGTCCCTCCGCACAGCCGCTCGTCCCAGGGCGAAGCTCCCGCTGCCCTGGAGTGGGGTC